CCCTTGCCTCGCTGCGCTAATGCAAATTTGGAAAGTATCATTAGCGCAGTCTTTTTGCAGTTGGAATCACGGTTCTGGGTATCCTGGTTGCTAAAATATTGCGTAGTGTGAAAAAGACTCGGTCGCAAGCCGCGCGCGGTAGTGGCAGTCACTGGCGGCCGCCGGCAGGAGAAAGCGTATTTCGCCGCGTTCTCTGCAGCACAGCCGAATCTATTCCATGGGACAAGGGAATGGTTGTGGGGTGTAGCCATTGATTTTTGCCCCTTCCATCAACTGTCAGCTTTTGTAATGATTTCAGCACGTACTGCTGTTGTATTAAACAGCATGGCATTGCATCGAAGAGTGAAAAACGGCCGGTAACGGCCAAATCTATCCTGCTGGCTCGGCACGCGTTACACGCAGCATGTGCGACATGACAATTCATGCAACGTCTTTGTGTCTTGCATTTGTTATGAATGCATGCCACTCCCCAATCGCTCCGCGCGCTGGGTGCCGAGATGTGGCACAAAACGTGTAAACCCGTGGAAAAGAGCAAAAGACATCTTCCTGGCTCGTGTGTGTCCGACACGTGCAACGTGCGACCCCGCACCTGTGACACATGTGGCCATGAAATTTCCCGTTCAGTGGTCTATCGCAGCCTGCCAGTCTCGTGCTACTGCGCGCCATAAGAGCGGAGATCCCGCGTAAAGCGTAAAAACGGACGAAATCGGCAAAATACAGTTTCACAGCTAATGTGCGCGTGCACATGACACGTGCAGCGTGACATCGTACACGTTTCAGTGACTGCCCGTTAGACCACCTATTTGAAGCATGCCAGTCGCTGTGCGCTTTATTTCCTGGTTTCTGAGATATCATGAAAACGTACAAGCCCCTCAAAAGACCGAAATTGTGTAAATGCATAGTTCAACACATGGGCGCCATGATATCTGGCACGTGTCACCAAACATTATCATCTCGCTCCTTTCACTCATCATTGAAGCGCGCCAATGCCTGGTGTGTTAGTGCCATAGGTGCCGAAATGGTTTACTGACGGACACACTGCAGGTCCACTGCAGGTCTACTGACGGACACACACACAGACATTGTTCCTTTAGTAATATAGATATAGAAATAGAAACAGATAGAAGAAGAAGACAAGTCTAACCCGATCAAAAATTATATTACCAGCTAAAACACACTAATACACGAGCAGGCCGTGGTAAGTAACCTCCAATCATCAACTGCCGTTGACCTGTAAACGTCAGTAACTACGAATAAGAACTATACAAGTTTATGCAGGCTTGCAATCACAGCAGAGGCTGGCTATTTCTGCCAAACAAAATAAAAACGTAAGGTTGCGAGCTCATGACACTCAGTTCTAATCCAGGGCGTCGTGTCATTTCGCTTCACATTTGATAAGATACTCTGGCTGAGGTGGACGCTGATGCCACCGCGAGTGTCTCTGGCTTTCTGTTATTGTTGCTGTCAGCTCGAGAGAATGCTCGTTAAATGACCTCAATGTTGGTGGTGAAGCAGGCAGTGGTGTTGACGGACAGATCACAGATCTGGCTGTCCGTCCGTCGGTGGCGTAAGCTGACAAGTCCGGCTGTGGCCGTGTGAGTGTGTACACGAGTACCGAGAACCAACGCCCCATCGACATTGCGCAGTTTGGAACCGCTAAAAGAGCTCCTACTCCGGATATCCTGATCTGCAGATATTCTTCCAATGAACCAACGCGCTCTGTTCCTGCTATAGTATGCAGTTGCCTCCAGCCCGATCCTGGCCTTCTGGTGTGTAAGATATGCTGTGAGCGTGACCTTCGCCGTGCTGTGTGTGACGACAGCCAGTGGTCATTGTGGGACTGAAAGCGTTATGATAGTTGATCACTTAACACGCGCCCGGGTGGCCGGCCAGATACCCTTCGCTTGCGTGAAGGGGTTTCGATTTGACCCTCTGAGATCTCGGGAACCAAGAAATCTAGAGACACCAAATTTACAGCGTGTATTGACCTATACGTGAAATCACTTAGGTCAAAGTTCCACGTTTCTAGATTATGACCTTCGGGTCAAAAACGGTCAAGCAAGGTCAAATTCCAGGTTGGTCTCCAAAATACCCCCAGAACCTAGATAACCGTTTTTAGGCAAAATATCACATTCCCATTCAAGGTCAGTGACCTTGTTTGACTTTTTAAAGGTCAAGATGACCAAAATCATACAAGATTGCTTTGAGCTTTGCATTTGACTAAACGACAAATATTATGCTAGGCAGTATGTTCCTAAAACAAAATGTTGACATGGGTCATTTTAGGTCAATGACCCATTCTGACCTCTAAGAAGTCCATGGAAGATGTATAATGCGGTTCCTGCTATCAATAAACTCGAAATGAGCACCAGAGACTATCCCAGATAGTAAGCCCCAGAGTAACAAAACAGGTAGGTTTTGACCTTGGTGTGACCTTCATACCTGACCTTAGGTCATGCAATTTACTCATTCAACTGTTATGTTGCCTACGAAAGCATCTCAGAGATGTATTGCTTCGTCTAACACTCCATTGTTGGATCAGTTTGAAGGATTTCCTAGAAATTGCCTTCGCTAAAACCATAGCCTGATTTTGACCTGCCATAAGTAAACGACCTTACAAGGTACGTCTAAATTCTTGATACCAAGCGATCTGCTATTCAATTATCTACAGCTATGCAAAATTTGACGCGGCTACGCCGCGCCGTGCGGAAACCATTCTGGAAAAACCTTTCGGAGGGGGGTCAATTTGAGCCTCCCGAAGGCTTAGCATCTCTCACCATACTCAAATTTAGGACCGCTTTAGTTTCAACCTCTTGAAACTCCTGGTCAAAGTCCACATCATGCCACATATTGTGCAGTCCGTCTGCGGGTGCGGGGAGAGAGAGAGAGAGAGAGAGAGAGAGAGAGAGAGAGAGAGAGAGAGAGAGAGAGAGAGAGAGAGAGAGAGAGAGAGAGAGAGAGAGAGAGAGAGAGAGAGGAGAGAGAGGAGAGAGAGAGAGGAGATAGAGAGAGAGAGAGGAGAGAGAGAGAGAGAGAGAGAGAGAGAGAGAGAGAGAGAGAGCGTCCGACCGTCCCCTGGCCAAGTGCAGAGGACATCATTCTTTACCATCCGGCTGGTGATGATGGGTGTCCGATGTCGTCAGCACGCCTCGCCTGCTCAGCAGTTGTTCGGCTGACCCAGCGTGGCTGACGGTGTGCGCCGGCACGACTGTTTGAGTGTGTACCGTGCGCTGCATTTAAGCGGACCACCGTTCGCTTGGCGTGCGATGTTTGTCACGAGCGCAGAGGCTTCTCAGCGCCGGGCTCTTTCCTTTTCAAGGTTTGATCCAAACGCTTTTAACGGATGCATTTCTGGGTTCAGAGCTCACGCTACGCAGTGCTTGTTGTGTGAGCCCTGACCGCTACCATCTGATCGGGCAATTTCAGGCGACGGCGGAATTACGTGGCAAAACTTCACCGCGCTGGAATGCTCGGCATGTCCTGTCCTATTTTCTGACGTCACTAACCTTTAGCGCGTCTGCTGTCTCCGGTCGCGAGCCATGCCTATGAAAGGCAAATAGCGACGCCTGAAGCGACCCGGACCCAGCCCGCCACGTGTGGGTGGATCGGAAGACAAGTGCCCTAACCAACTGAGTCACCTGAACGGACTCTTCAGCAGATACGTTGGTGAGTCCGTCCAGCCAGCCAGGTACCCTTCAAGTACCTGGCTGGGTGGCACCCAGCATCAGCTCTTCTCCTGAGTCGCGTCTGCCCGGAACTGCCGATCACCGGCACCACTCCACCCACGCTCGCTCACGCCGCGCTCCGTGACCATATTTGAACACCGACACCATGACTGCACCCGGCTGTATGTGAGCATGTATCTGAACACGTGAGCTTCACTTCTCATGTTCCTGGCAGTAATTGCTATGAGAAGGTAGCTGAAAAATACATATGTTGAAGACATCCATCTATCTATGCTTGTAAATGAATATATATATATATATATATATATATATATATATATATATATATAAGTGAGCGTGTGCATGCATATACATATGCATGTTTTAAGAATTTCAAGCTGTTTATGTGACGTAGTGGTGTGCCTAAAGATTTGAAGCAAGGCTATGTTTTTGCGACATTAGTACCTGGTGGTAAGCCCTGAAGCCTGCGCTCCGTGTTGCCACAGCTGTTTGTTCCTCGCACAGCCGAACGCATGTGCCCCTGCAGCAGGCAAACATTCATGGCCGACTGCGCAACTGGTGAGGGTGTGGACTTCCCTTGCTTCCACAGACCACAGACGAGGACAAGGACTGATCCAAGACGATAACAAAGCCGAGGCCATAGTACCAGTGGCCTAGTTCAAGCCCAGGCTGCGCCGCACGGATGACAAGAAGAGCCTGTCCTGGGCGAGTGATCAATACCTCTAATCATTGAGTTCTAAAACTATTGTCACCAAGTGCATAGCAGGTGGAAAAGTTAACCGGTGGGTCTAAACCGTGGTTCTAGCGGACAGCATAACTTTGGTTTGGAACATAAAGGGGTCTTTGTTTATTTGCTCCTGCGTTCTCACTGCAGTAACTTTTCCTCCCTTTAGCCCATTCTCTCCCCCTCTCTCTCTCTCTCTCTCCTCTCTCTCTCTCTCACTCTCTCTTTTCTCTCTCTCGCTCTCCCTTTCTCTGTCTCTAGACACACACTTCCGCGTATACAGTACGCAGATGTGCGCGCACAATGCACCTGCATGGCTAAAATCTGTTCATAATGCATAACTGTCTGTTTTGGATTCACCGGGGGAACTCCAGCGACTTCTGCTCAGCTGCGCCTGAGGTTGCGAATGGCAGAGGCTGTGACGTCTACGTCATGTGACCAAATGCGGCTTCGTTATTAAGCGACGACGCTCGAGTAAGTGGCACACCTTGCAACGGACGCAAGCAATGTGTGGAGTACAATTGTGCACAGTGCTGCTGCTGGTGGCGGGCTCGGCGCTGGGGGCCGACCTGGCCCGGCGGCGCATCAGTATGGAGAAGCGGCAGACCATGCTGCTGCCAGGTCTGGCCAACCATCCGGCGGTGGGCCGGCTCGACCTGCGCTTCTGGGGCAGCGGCTCCGAGTCACAGATCAGCCGCGGCCCACTCGGCTGCGGCTTCCCCGTCGTGGGCGACCACCCGTGGCTGGTGGCGCTCGGCTTCACAGGACCCGACGGCCGCATCGTCTTTTCGTGCTCGGGCGCGCTCATCAGCGACCAGCACGTGGTCACGTCGGCCCGCTGCGCACTCGGTACCCGTGGCTACACGCTCAGCACGGTCAGATTGGGCGAGTACGACTTTAGTAGCCGGCGAGATTGTGTCTGGTACGACCCGACCCTGCGCACGGAGGCCAGGGACGTGGCCGTCCACTCGCTCACCGTGCACCCCGACTTTGTCAAGCACGGCGGCGACCCGAGCCGCTTCGACGTGCCGCTGGTGCAGCTGTCGCAGCCGGTGACGCTGGGTCACGGCGTGCAGCCCATCTGTCTGCCCATGTTCCCACTGCGCCACCAGCCGCATCGCCTGTTTGCGCTGACGATGGGCCTGCACAGTGGGCTTCCGCCGGCGTCCGACGGTGCTGCCACCTGCCGCGAGTGCAGCCGCCAGCGGAGCACCACCACGCACGTGATGGACGAAGAGAAGCTAGCTGTGTACAACACCAGCTACTATGGCCCGGAGCCGTGCCAGTACCGGCTGCTGTCGGAGGCGGACGGCGAGCCAAACCGCTGTCTAGGCTCTGGCACGCCGTGCGTGACTGACCTGGGCGCGCCCCTGGTGGCCCCCGACCAGTTCGGCTCGGCCTTCTTCCTGATGGGCGTGGCCAGCATGCCGCCGACGCAGAAAGAGTCCTGCCTGCCGGGAGCATAG